TGTACTCTAGTTTAGGTGTTTCACCCTTGTGTAGCTTAGCTTCCCCTGCTGCGACAGGCGTAGGACTGCCTAGGTTGCCTAGTCTAGTCGCTGCACCGGCTCCGTCCCCGGCCTCCGCCACTGCGTCGCTGTCCTTCACTCTCGACTCTGGTGCTTCTGCCTGCTTCTTCCGCGACTGTTCCACGCTCACGCCGCTTGCTGCACCTGCTGTAGTCTCTCTCGCTGACCCCTCTGCGGGTCCGGTCGTCGCGCGCAGTTCTACGTCCCTTCCCTGTCCGGCAGTTCCCTCGGGCTCCCTTACTGGCCTCCACGTTCCCTCGTTCTCCAGGAACCTGGTTGGTGTCGGCTGTCTCCAGGACCTCGGCGTCACCACCACGTTCCCCGGGCACGAGCGGTTCGCTGTCTGTTCTGAGGCTGTCTCAGGTTCCCCCCTTGCGACGTTCCTCCGGGACCCGGTGTCCGGTCTGTTTACCCTGCACACCGCTTCCCCCCCGGTTGGTGCGTCCTCCCAGGTCGCTGCAGCTTGCTCGTGTCGGTCCCTCACTCACCCCTCCCTTCTCTGGCACCACCGCTTAGGTCACCCTGCTCTCCCGCGTCTGCGTGACATGTCCCAGCACGGTCTTGTCTTAGGTCTCCCCGCGTCGCTCCCTGCCCTTCCTCCCTCGACTGCGCCACCGTGCACGCCTTGCGTCGAGGGTCGGCTCCGCCGTGCTCCTCACTCCTCCTCGCTGCGTCCTGCTACTGCCCCCCTTCAGACCCTGCACTTGGACGTTTGGGGCCCTGCCCCCGTCCCCGGACCGCGCGGTGAGCACTACTTCCTTGTGCTCGTCGACGACTACACGCGCTACACCACGGTGTTACCCCTGGAGCGGAAGGCCGACGTGCCCGACGTTCTTCTCCCGTGGGTTGTGGCTGCGCGTCTCCACCGCGGTCTCCCCGTGTTGTGTCTCCACTCCGACCGTGGCGGCGAGTTTGCCTCTGGTCGGCTTGGACAGTTCTGTCGTGCGGAGGGCATCACCCAGTCGTACACGTTGCCGGACTCGCCACAGCAGAATGGGGTTGCTGAGCGACGCATCGGCTTGGTCATGGAGGTCGCCCGCACCTCCATGATCGATGCCGATGCCCCCCATTTTCTGTGGCCGTTCGCTGTTCGCTACGCGGCTCACCAGCTTAACCTGTGGCCACGCTCCCAGCGGCCGCAGGTTTCGCCGACCCTCCTTTGGACCGGGTCCCCCGGTGACGCGTCTGCGTTCCACGTCTGGGGCTGCCTTGCTCACGTTTGTGCCTCTGGCACGGACAAGCTCACTGCCCGCACTGTCCCCTGTGTCTTCCTCGGTTTCCCCCTGGACTCGTCTGACTGGCTTTTCTACCACCCACCGTCTCACCGCTTCCTCCACTCTCGTGACGTCACCTTTGACGAGTCCGTCTCCTTCTACCGCCGCTTTCCTCACCAAGGTCTCCCAGTTGCCCCCCCCCTTTTCCTTGCTCCCTCTCCCCCGGTAGCCCCTGCCCCTCTCCCGCCTCGTCCTGCCCCGTCTGGTGTCTCCCACGTCACTCCCCTCCCGTCGGTTGTCCCCGTTGAGGAGTCTGCCGACTCTGGTGGTACCCCCGGTCCGTCCTTGCCGCGTCCCCCTTCCCCGGTGCCTCCGCCCCCACTGTCGCAGTCGCCGACCCCGCTGCCGCCGCCGTCGCCGTCGCCGCCGCAGCCGTCGCCGCTGTCGTTGCCGCCGCCGCCACTGTCGCTGCCGCAGCCGTCGCCGCTGTCGCCGCCGCCGCAGCCGTTGCCGCCACTGCCGCCGCTGCTCTCGGCCCCTGGGGGTGCTGGTGTGGAGGAGGGTGTTCGTCCTGCGGCTTCTGGGGGTGCCGCTGGTGTTGGAGGGGGTTCTCGCTCTGGCGGTGTTGGTTCTGGGGGTGCTGCTGTTGAGTGTTCTGCCGACGATCGTTCTGCCTCTGCTGGTCCGAGAGTTCCGGCCCAGCCGTCGTCGCCGCCGCAGCAGCCGTCGCCGCCGGTTTCCGCTCTCCGCCTGCTCGGCCTTCCCTCCCCGGACCGCGCGCCGGTGTCTCCCCCACCGCCTCCTGACCTTCCTGTCTACGGTCCTGTGTTCCCGCCGCCAGACTCGTCTCCGGCCCGTCTTCCTCCTCGTTCCCCTCCTGTGTCTCCTCCGCTGTCCCCTGACCCTACCCCTCCGTCTCACGTTTGGGCTCGCCGTCCCTCCCGTGCTCGTCCCGTCTCTCCTGTCCTGCTTACCCACCCTATGTTACTCCGTTCCCACTCGTCTCGTCCTCCCCTCCTCCCGTCCCCTCCTCCCTCGTCCCTTGCTGTTGCACCTCCTCCGTTCTCTGACTACCTCCGTGCTGCTCGTCCCCTTGTCCCTCGGGTCCTTGCCTCTCTTGTTACCGACCCTGCTGTTCCTGTCTCGCGCCTTGACGCGCTTGTCGCTGCTGTCGCTGACTTCGCTTCTACCCGCCGCCTTGACTACGCTACCGCTCTGGTCTCTGACCCTGCCCGTCCTCTGTCCGTCGGGAGTGCTCCTGCCCTTGGCAGTGACGTCCTAGAGGACAGGCAGTACGAGCTGGCTTTCCTTTCCGAGGCTGCTCCCCATCTCTGCTCCATGCTGTTAGTCCCTGAGGGTGACCCAGACGCCTTCGACATCCCGACCCCTCGCACCTACGCTGAGGCCACCTCGGGACCTTGGGCCTCTCAGTGGATAGCTGCCATGGAGCAGGAGATGGCATCTTGGAGATCCACCGGCACTTACGTCGACGCAGTTCCCCCGCCTGGGGTGAACGTAGTCGATGGTCGGTGGCTCTTCAAGGTGAAGCGCCCCCCTGGAGAGCCGCCTGTCTTCAAGGCGCGCTACGTGGCCAGAGGTTTCAGTCAGCGCGAGGGGGTTGACTTCTTCCAGACCTTCGCCCTGACCCCGAAGATGACCACTCTTCGGGCGCTGCTACACGTAGCAGCACAGCGTGACTACGAGCTTCACTCCCTCGACTTCTCTACTGCCTTTCTTCAGGGCAGCCTACACGAGCAGGTCTACCTGCGCCGACCACAGGGCTTCACTGGTACCTTCCCTCCTGGGACCCAGTGGCTTCTCAGGCGCCCGGTCTACGGCCTGCGTCAGGCTCCCCGCGAGTGGCACGACACGCTACGTGCCACGTTAGCAGACCTGCAGTTCTTTCCGTCCTCTGCTGACCCTTCATTGTTTGTGCGTTCCGGCCAGACTCCGTTCTACATCCTTGTCTACGTAGACGACCTGGTCTTCGCTACTCCTGACAGGGACGCACTGGCCTCTGTGAAGGCTGAGCTGCTGAAGAGACACACCTGCACTGACCTTGGAGAGCTGCGTCGCTATCTTGGCCTGCAGATCTCTAGGGACAGAGCAGCACGCACCATCACTCTGACCCAGTCACACTTGGTGCGTCAGGTCCTTCAGAGGTTCGGTCTTCAGTTCTCCTCCGCACAGCCCACACCTCTACCCGTAGACCATGGGCTCTCTGCTCCCGTTCCTGAGGAGCCAGTAGAGCCCAGTGGCCCCTACGCAGAGCTGGTGGGTTGCCTCATGTACCTGATGACTTGCACTCGCCCAGATCTCGCATACCCTCTCAGCATCCTGGCTCGCTTTGTGGCTACAGGCAGACACCGACCTCAGCACTGGTCTGCCGCTAAGAGGGTTTTGCGTTATCTTGCTAGTACATCAGGCATGGGGTTAGTGCTAGGAGGACGCAGGCCAGTGGTCCTTACTGGGCACACAGACGCTTCTTGGGCAGACGACGCTGAGACGCTCAGGTCGTCGCAGGGCTACTGTTTCAGCCTTGGTTCGGGTGCTATCTCTTGGAGATCCACTCGCTCGTCGTCTGTGGCTCAGTCTAGCTGTGAGGCTGAGATCTACGCAGGTGCCATGGCGGCACAGGAGCTCCGCTGGCTGACCTTCTTGCTCACAGACTTAGGTGAGCGGCCTAGCTCTGCCCCGGTCCTGTACGCTGACAACAGGGCCATGATACTCCTGTGTCAGGAGCCTCGGCTTGAGGGCAGAGCGAAGCATATCCAGCTGCGGTACTTCCTCCTGCGCGAGCTACAGCAGCGCCGCCAGGCCCGCGTAGTTCACTTGGCCTCAGGTGCCAACACAGCTGATATCTTTACTAAGGCGCTTGCGCCTAAAGATCATCAGCGGCACTGTGTACAGCTTGGTCTTGTTCCTGTTGCTGCTCCCCTGTTAGGATCCTGATTGTGTACTCTCTATTATATATGCTTGTCAGACTGGCCTTGTGGCCTTACTTCCAGTGGCTGGACTAGTAGTGCCACCCTGGCTTGCTTCAGTTTTGGTTGTATTCTTGCTGACTGGTCTCCAGACCCCTGCCTCAGTGGTTGGACTAGTAGTGCCGCCCTGAGCTGTTTGCTTCTTGTTTAGTTTCACCCCTTGTCTAGCCTAGGGGGTGTGTCAACTTATACATGTTATCTATGTAGAAGTTATAGGCTAGACTGAGGTATGCTTCTAGTGAGTACAACCAACTAGTATTTGTTCTAGGTTTCCACCTCTAGTAATCATTCGTTTCTACGTTAACAGGAAGTACCTCCAGTAACAGCCAGTATTAACAAGTTGTAATACCGAAGTCAGTGTTACAGCCTTGTGATACTTGAAGACTTAACCAAGGATCTTTGCTGGAATGGTAGACTAGTAAGACAACGGAAGTCTTAGAACTTGCAAGTGTTGACCAGAATTTACTAAGGAACAAGTTAACAACTGAAGTTGTACAAACTACTTTTATATTCGCTAGAAGTAGCTATTCGGTAAGGTATCTGTTCAAGACTATTTGCGCTATGCGCTCTAACCGCTACTGAAAAGAGCGCGACTGTTCGCGTGACTGAAACGGTCTGCTGACGTAATCATCCAGACGAGCGCTATTTGCTGACGTCATTCTACGGATGCCATATACAGTGTAACTCGACAATATCTATCGGAATTACTTACAGAAATGCTCTAGTACGATTTCGTCACAACACAAATTTGAGGCCTATATTGGAGGTACTTCAGTATTCATTTCTACTTCAAGTAGCGGAGGCGTTTTGACCGATCCCATGAGCCAAGTTGGGCCCTAGGAGCACCCATTCCGCAGTGTCATATCTCCTCTCATCCCCTCCACCATCCATGGGGCCATTCATTGTCTCAAAAGCTCACCATCCTTGTTTTCGTCCATGGGGCCGTCGAACATCCTCGAGTGTCTCCTCCATGCATCCTGTGAGATTCTTGGTAGAATAATCGACCCGCACCCGCATTTTAGTGTCTCAACTGGCCCCGCCACGCCACGCCCACCGTTGCTTCTGCGGAGCTCACGGAGCTCACCATCCTCGGGGTCATCCGTGAGGTCACGGAACACCTAGCTCCGAGACGCCTCAACACTAGCAACTATCCTTAGTTCTCGTCCTGCCACAACCATGGCACACACCCACCGCTGGCTTTCAGGCGCTTGATATTCTCACCGTCCTTGGGGTGCCATGTCGTCGAACTAGTATCCAATGTGCGCCGTGCGAGCCTCCTGGAGCCATTTTACAGATCTCTAAGAAATGTCTCCAACGTGCTTCACGTAAGCTTTTGAGGGAGGAATCCAGCGGCACCTGCCTTTCACCCACTCTCAACCTCCCACAGTTGCCCCGCCCCACACCACCCTTGCCCATGGCTGCTTTTGAGGCACCTCCAAAAGTCACCATCCTTGGGGTCGTTAGTGAGGTTGCTGGACGTCTTCCTCATGCATCTTGGTCAAATACTCCAGCAGCACATGTATCTCACTGGCAAGCCCCTGCAAGCCCCTGCAATCCCCTGCAAGCCCCTGCAAGCCCACTGTGCTTCTTGAGGAGCCTCGGAAACTCACCGTCCCTGTTGTCATTGGTGAGGTCGTAGAAGGTCTCCACGGTGCGTCTGGCGAGCTTCTTGAGGGAGTAGTCCACCAGCACGCGCATCTCGCTGTCAAACTCCACCCGTGTGCCTCGTGCCACGCCCACCGCCGCCGCCAACCCCCGCATGTCAGCCTCCCATGCAGACCCCTCGCCCCACAGGGCCGCGAAGTCCTCCTCCCTGTACACAATGTAGACGGCCTTGAGCGGGTCAAAGAAATGCAGGTCCCGCTCGTTGGTTGCAATGTAGAGGGTGCTGCCCCGGGGGATTAGGGTCGGTAGCTTCTGTAGGAGGCTGGGGGAGGAGGGGGGGACGGGTGTGCGCACGGAACGGGAGAGGCGGGCAGTACAGGAGGGGTGGGGGGTATCAAGAGCAGAGAATGCCGAAGAGCAGAGAATGCCGAAGAGCAGAGAATGCCGAAGTGCAAAGCGCAAGATGCACCCATGCTTCGTGCTGGGTGCCGTGGTCGAGGTGTGGCCAGCGCATGGCACAAGCAAGCGCGTGAGACTCGCTCCTTAGAAACGAGGAGAGGAAGAGAGAGAAAAGAGGCAGACAGCAAGGGCATGGTGGATACCCAGGAAAGACGCCTAGCCAGGCAAGACGCCTAGCCAGGCAAGACGCCTAGCCAGGCAAGACGCCTAACCAGGCAAGACGCCTAGTCAGGCAAGACGCCTAGCTAGGCAAGACGCCTAGCCAGGCAAGACGCCTAGCCAGGCAAGACGCCTAGCCAGGCAAGACGCCTAGCCAGGCAAGACGCACAGCCAGGCAAGACGCACTCACGCCTCGGGCCGTGTGTCGTGGTCGAGGTGCGGCCAGTGCGTGGGGTCAGTCTTATCCCCGCGCCGCACGTGCACGTAGTCAAACCGCTGCTGCCCGCCCATGGCGTCTGCTATGGTGTGCGTGAGCCGGGCGATGGCGTCATTGGGGACTAGCAGCTCAGGGTCAACAGTGACGTTGTCCTGGCAGGTGTGTGACATGTGCACGTGTGCAGGGAGAGATGCATGCATTCATGTAGACGGGGATGCATGCAGGCGGGGATGCATGGATGCGTGCAAGCAGAGGGACAGCGGAGGAGTTCAGGAGATGGCGTCGCTGGGGAAGAGCAGGTCGGCGTCAATGGTCACATTGTCCTGGCATGGTTGTGTCGTATGGTGGGTGCACAGAGAGGGGGGTGCACAGAGAGGGGGGTGCACAGAGAGGGGCGTGCACAGAGAGGGGCGTGCACAGAGAGGGGCGTGCACAGAGAGGGGCGTGCACAGAGAGGGGCGTGCACAGAGAGGGGGGTGCGCACTAACAGAAACACGTCCCGCTCCGCCGCGGCATCACTGTCGTCGTGTGGCGTGCGTGGGGTGGTTGGTTCGGCATGGGCACCAAATCCCATGACCCAAAGAGCACGGACGCCTCATCGCGCCTGTTGCGCACACTACACACCCCGCGCACCTGGCTTGTTGTGCTCCCTGCACGCCCCGCGCACCTGGCTTCTTGTGCTCCCTGCACGCCCCGCACACCTGGTTGTGCTCCTTGTAGCAAACCATAAACCCAAACTGCCCCTCCTGCGGCTCGCGCACCACCAGAAACACGTCCCGCTCCACTGACAGCTCGCCCGTGCTCGGCCCGATGGGGAACTTGCGCATGGGCGTCATGTCCCACGGCCCAAAGCGCGCCACAAAGTGCTCCATCAGCACCATGGGCTGCTGGCTGGGAGACGGGTGGAGGGGGCAGGGGCGGAGGGGGAAGGTGGAGGGACAATGGGAGAAGGGAAGTGAAAGCGCATCAGCATTGGGTCCCACGACCCAAAGCGTGCCACCATGGGCTGCTGGCTGGGGAGAGTGAGGAGGGGGGACGATGCGGGGTGAAGGGAGGCAAAGTGCCCATGATGCTCCATGGGCCAAAAAGCGTCAGGGACAACTCTATGAGCACCATGGGCTGCCGGCTGGGGAGGGGAGGAGGAGGTGGGGGAAGAAGGGGGGGTGAAGGGTTAAAATAATTGAATCATGAGTACCATGGGCTGCCGGCGGGGGGGAGAAGAGAAGGGAGGCGGACGTGGAGAGGAGGGTGAAGAAGAGGGGCTGGCAGGCAGAGGAGAAAGCGGAAGGAGAAAACGTGTGGGCAGTGGACACCGAAACGAGTCCCACGACCCAAAGCGCGCCGAAAGGAAACCGCGGCACGAGTACCATAACATGAGCTGTTGGCTCGGGAGGGGCAGAGATTGGGGAAGGTCGGAATGAAGTGCAAGCAAGGTGGACGGAACCACATAGCACGCGCACCACGTCACGTCACATCCCAGAAGCCAAAGCGCAGTGAAAAAGAAGTGCTACAAAAAAAGAACACCACTGGCAGGCGGCTGCTCACACAAGGACGCAGGGGGGAGAGGGGGAGCGGGATGAATGACATATGGTTGACTGAGAGGAAGAGCGGTACGCCGGCCGGCGAATGCCGCGTCCCATCAAGTTTTGTGACTAGATCATGATCATGCCAGGGAAATGGTGCCGGCCCATCACACCCAATCACACCCCGCAGCAATTCATCGCGCTACACCCCCCCACCTCATCATGGTGGTCAGGCTTTAGCACATACCCACGTGGCCACGCTCGTCACAACCCATTCCACATTCTCCATTCCCCATTCCACATGCCCTCACATCATTGTCATTCACTCGAACCATCAGCACTACCCCCCATCAGCACAAGCCCCCATGCCACATCACACCGCACTACACCACACCAAACAAAACCCCATCCCTCCCTCCCCTCCCCCCCAGCCCAATCACCTCCCCATGGCGGTGAGGTTGTAGTACAGCCCCACGTGCCCGTGCTCTTCTCGCCCAGTCCCCGAGTGCTCCTGGTGCAGGCACCGGTCCGTCACCAGCACCACCGTCCGCCCTAGCGCCTTCGCCTCCGCCGCGGAGCACAGCTGCGACCACGACCAGTGCCCTTGCCCCACGCACATGTCCCTCGAAGACGACAGCAGGTAGTACCGCTCGCCCTGCGCCGTTGCTCGCTCCACCTCCGCCCTGTACGCCTGCTGCTGCGCCTCCGAGTCCTGCTCGCCGCTCGCTGCGGGCGATGGTGGCTGTGCCGTCTCCTGGCCCTCCGTGCTCGCTCTAGCCTCCTGGCCCTCCGTGCTCGCTCTAGCCTCCTGGCCCTCCGTGCTCGCTCTCCGTGCTCGCTCTCCGTGCTCGCTTTGCCCTCCCCATTCTCTAAAGCCTTTGCCTCGCCCTCCTCGCTCTCAATATGTTGCTGCCCTGTCCCTTGCTTCTCGTTCTCTCCAACCTCCTTCCCTCCGCCTAACACTCCCGCCCTCCACCCATCCTCACGTCCCGCCTTCCGCCACACCCCCCTTCCCCTCCCCGCCTGCGCCAGCCATCCCCCCGCCACCGCATCCCCCGACGCCCCTCCGCGAGCCCACCACGCCTCGCGCAGCTGCGCCGGGATGCGCGAGCGCGAGGCGAGCAGATCCGCCACGGCGCACGCCGCAACGGCCGCGAGGAGCATGAGGGCGACGAGCCGCTGCCCCGCGGGAAACAACGAGTGCCACGTGGACAAGCCCGCCGCCTCCCACAGGGGCGGGAATTTACTACTCGCACTGGCAGAGTCCCCGTGGTCCCGCGCGGACGGGGAAGCCGCGGCATGAGGGCGGAGTACCGCCGGTGAGTCGCGCAGCCCCATGCACCACCCGCCACCGTTCGCCACCCCACGGTCCTGTCACCACCGTAACTTGCGGCGGTTATCAACTAATAGTACAACTCGAGGGTTGGGAATTGAGTCACACGACACGGTCGGCAGCGCTAATGAAGCCTCCTCACCTACTACTACCAGTGATATCGCAGTGCGTTGCTTGGCACGGGTTAGGGCGTCGACCTTAGAGTTTCGAAACTCGCGAGGGTTACAGGCTTCGCGGAAACTCGCCACGGAAGTCGCGAAGGCGGGAAGTGCCGCACGTGTTCGCCTGTTGCCAGCGTTCCCGCAACGTTCAGCAACACAACACGAAATGGGTTGGTCGGTGGAGATTTGGAAGGGTATCTGTGTACTCCTGTACGAGTTTTGCAACTGCCTGGTGACTGGATTCAAACCGATGCGTTCCTTTCTGATTAGATGACATGAATCCCGCGTGAGGGCGTGTCCAGCGCGTTCGCTTCGCCCTCACACGCGAATTCTACGTCTTCTGTACTTGTTAAAAAAAAAAGTTACGGCGAGTGTAGCTGTCACGAGGCTCACCTTTCGACTGGGGCGAGAATGCTCGACTCGGCCTTGTGTCTTGCCTTTGACACGACAAATGCTCTGCGCAGCAAAAACGGAAGTGCTTGGCGAAATACGTGGAGTTACGTTATTACGAGCTTGGAAAAGAAAGCCTCCCTAATTTTGCCACGGCATTGAAGAAGTAGCACGAAAATGACGGAGTGGTGTGGTTTCTCTTCGCCAGCCAGAATTTGTCGTTTCTGGCGCTGGGTACCATTTCCAACCGCTTTCGAAACGTGCGGAACACGACTGCTGGTATGCTTCGAGAGCGTCAGGTTAAAAAGTTCATTTTTTGCGGGTCCTAATTGATGTGGATTGTCGGGCTACCACTCCTGGATTCTGTACCTGTTACTTCAACTGAATAGTATTAGAACGCGCTGGACACGCCTTGAAAAGGCGTTCTATGCTCATAGCACCCAGCGTCATTCTTCGACACCGAGGATGCGGAGACACCAAGCTGGAAACCGAGCTGAACTGATGTTTGACAGATGCTGGCTTATGTGCGGTCAAGAACCCCACTCAGGGCGTGGCGCAGCCGTTCCTTGCGAAATAAAACTCTCGACCGAAGTCTGGACCCGTTGCGAGAATGCAGCCATTTCTTGATTCACGACAGCTATGCGACATCCGCGATTTTTAAACCCTGTAAAGTTACCCCCCCATCCGAAACGGCTGCACCACGCCCGTCGAGGTTACACAACAAACCCGGAAATATTGGGTTTTTCCTGCAGTGATCCACCTGCGAGCGCAGCGTCTTCTCCTGAGGGTGTGTTTCCTTTCTGCGGTACACTTTGTGGCAAGTTTCCCATCTGCAGCTTTCAACGTGCAGGATCATCCAAGATCTCCTTTTATAAAATCCTGACCGTACATAACCTTGCCGAAGCTTGCCACAAAGTAGTCTGCCACAAGCGAGAAACACTTCCTGAGTCTAGCGTTCCAGAATTTTGGTCCCCTTCGGTGGCGTCTCTAGTTGGCAGCAGTTGTGCAATGCAAAGTGCAGGCGCCTGCCTGCCGTTCTGTTAGCGCCAGACGCATTGCTAATTGTGTCTGTACCTGGCGATACGAACCCTCGACCCTTCGCCAACTCGCGAAAGCTTGGGACCTACTCGGGAAAGAATGTGAGGGCGTGTCCCAAGCGTTCTCAAACATATTTATGAAGCTATTTAAACGTTTCAAAACGCAATTCACATCACTCAAACGCATTCGGACGTACGCTTAGGACACGCCCTAACGAAAGCCCAACGAAATTGGAAATCTCGAAAAAAAAAAAAAAAAAAAAAAAAAAAAACGAAGAGCGGCAGGCGAAATAAAAATTTACAAGCGTCAGTTTTGATAAAAATTGAGATAAAGACAAAAGAGTATGATTGTACGATTGAATAGGACAAGAGTGCAATAGTAGAACTGTAGCACATATAAATGGAATTATAATGTGCTTGTGAAGAATTAGTGGAAAGGTACTCAAGTGAGTAAAAGGGGACTTGTGGAGAGAAAGATGCTTATAAAGAAGAGTGAGAGACTTGCTTATGTGTGTCTTACAAGGTAGAGAAGCTGTAGAATCTTGGGAGCGGTTCTTGATAGAGGAAGTCTTGCACTTGGGAAAGGGTCTTGAGAATGTAGAGAAGGACACCACAAGCTTGAGAGGGGACCACAATCTTGGATGTGGTTGAAGGAGATGGTCTTGTACTTGACGAGTGAAGATACCACAAGGTTGAGTGTTGAAAAAGTAAGTCTTCCTACAAGCTTGTGGCTTGGTGATGCATCTTATACTCGAGTTGGGTATAAGATGGACTAATGCTTGATTACTTTGCTAATCTAGGAACTTTGTGGGAGAACTTTGAGAGCATAAATTTATATGAAATAAGGTATAGTACAAGCCTTATAATCCATGATGGATACAAGGACATGCATGAGAAAGAGACCACTCATAGTAGTCTAGGAAGAAAGGTAGCATGGTAATACCATCTCTAGAGACATAGAACATGAATGCTAACAAGAAGCCTTTGTAGTGGTGTGAGCTTGAGGAGCTTGAAGAAGACTTGAAGGGGAGCTTGGAGGAGAGGAGCTTGGAGATGCCTTGTTGTACTTTGAGAAACTTCTTGAGAAGTTGGAGAGGATTCTTGGTGAAGATGAATAGTAGTGGAGCATGTGATAGTTGTTGAGCCTTTGGTGACTTGGAGTTGTAGACCATGTGGTGTTGGAGAGAAACTTGGATGAGTTGGAAAGGAAGGAGAGGAGGAGGAATGAAAGCTTTGTTGAGTTGGAAGGTGAGAAAAGTAAGGAATCATGAGAGTCTTGTGTGATGATATGGCAACTTGGATGACTTGGGATAGGAAGGAAGGAAGGCATAAATAAGAGGCATGTGGAGGTTGATGAGTAGGGAAGGGGGGAATGTGCTTGAGGCACATGTGAGGAGGATTATTGGTTGGAGTAGATGACTTGGAGAATTCTTGATGAGTAGGAAGAGAGAGCACATGGAAAATGATGAAGAGTCATGTGCCTTGAGGTAGGAGTTGGAGATGAATATGAGGATTTATTGGAAGCTTGGTTGAGGTGGACTAGGAATGATTATGAGAGTTGGGGAAATTAAGGAGTAGTTGGGAGGCCTTAGGTTGGAGGAGATGAGCTGGAAAAGTTGGGTTGGAAATTTGGTAGGTAGAGTAGGTCTGGTTGGTGGGAAATGGGTTGGGGTAGGTAAAGAATTGTAACGAGCGATTTTGGAGGGGGAGGGGTTGGAGTGGCGAGAGAAATGTGGCACGCGCATCACGTGCCACTCACAACACCCTCCCTCACTCCAAGCCCATACCCTCCAACCGGTACTGCTGCAAATGCTTCAACTGCTTCATGTATTGATGGATCAAATCTGCATCACGTCTGCGGCTGCAACGAGTCCTGCCTGAACACGGTTGTTGATGAAGGTGTCACGAGCAACCACCTTGGTGAGGAAGTCTGCCGCTTGTTCGCTTGTGCGACAGAAAAGAGGCTCAACGAGTTTCTGCTCCACTAGCTCCCGGACATAGTGATACTGCGTGCCGATGTGCTTGGTTCTCCCATGGAAAACTGGATTCTTGGTGAGCGCAATCGCGGATGTGTTGTCGATGAAGAGGGGAGTAGGATTTTCCTGTGGGAGGTCAAGCTCCTTCAAGAGACCTCTTATCCACACTGCTTCTCGGGCTCCTTGGGTCACAGCCATGTACTCTGCCTCTGTAGATGATAGTGCCACACAGCCTTGCTTCTTCGACTGCCAGGAGATGGCCGCTCCTCCAAGCATGAAGATATATCCACCAGTGGACCTGCGAGTGGTGACATCCCCAGCCCAATTTGCATCCGTGAAGCCATACAGCATGCATGCATCCTCAGACCCTTGAAAGAGGAGACCAAAGGAAGAGGTTGCTTTGAGATAGCGCAGGGCACGATGTGCCCCATGCAGATGCATGCGTGTGGGAGATGCCATGCATTGGGAGAGCATGGCAACAGTATGGGCAAGATCGGGACGGGTGCAGATGGAAGCGTACATAAGGCTGCCCACTTGGCTCTGGTAGAGGGAGAGCTGAAGGGGCGTGACCTGACTTGTGGACTGTGACGCATCGGTGTCATGACCGATATGCTCAAGGAGCTCGAAATCCTCAAGCTCACCCTCATGCTCTGTGACCTGACTTTCAAGCTCAGATGGATCAATGCTTTGCTCGGATGAGCTCAGCAGGAAGTCGGATGGAAGGGGTGTCTCGACAGGGTTGCAGTTGAGGAGACCAAACCTTGAGAGGACCTTCTCGGTGTACCTTTGCTGTGAGATGAAGAGAGACTTGGATGGGCGATCTCTGACGATGTTCATACCAAGGTAGTGAGAGGGCTCACCCATGTCCTTCATGATGAAGTCTTGGGTGAGCATACCTTTGATGCGTGTGAGGAGACTCAGTGATGCTGACACAAGGAGGATGTCATCCACATAGACTAGGAGCCACAAGGACTCCCCCTCACTTGTGTGTAGCAAGTACAGTGCAGGGTCGAACTGTGACTTGGTGAAACCTTGGGACAGGAGTGCGACCTCAAGTGTGTGAAACCAGACTCGTGGTGCTTGCTTAAGCCCATAGAGAGACTTTAGCAATTTACAGACTTTGTTGGTCCCATCGGAGTAACCCTCAGGCTGCTCCATATAAATCTCCTCATCGAGCTTACCATACAAAAAGGCATTCTTCACATCCATTTGATGGATATGAAGATCCTTCACTGTGGCCATCACCAAAAGACACCTGACTGTAGTGTACTTGGCTACAGCTGAGAATGTCTCAGTGTAGTCCGAACCTGGAATCTGTGAGAAACCTTTTGCTACCAGGCGTGCCTTGTACCTATCAAGGGTACCATCTCCCTTCTCTTTCACTCTATATGTCCACTTGACCTTCAGTGCTTTCTTACCAGGGGGGAGTAGTACCTTCACCCATGTGCCTTGTGCAAGGAGACTATCTATCTCCTCTCTCTCTGCCTTTACCCACTCCTTTCTTTGAGCACCAGCCATTGCTTGCTTATGGTTGGATGGCTCAGGTGGGAGACAGCTGATGGCATGACATATTGCAGCTACCTTGCACTCCATGCAGTGAGACTTTGTGCACCTGGGTGTGACAGGAAAGATCGCACCGACTGCGAGGTTCATGCGCTGTACTGGCCTGCGTACTCTCTTAGGCCGCTCTGCATTCTCACAGACGCCTTGCCGACTCGTGTTACCGCTCGGGACGCTTGGTGGGGCGGGAGTTGGAGTTGTCACTGGAA